TAAGTGTTTAAGTTTGGATAATTTATATCAATTTCACACAAAGTTTATGTCGTTGAGATTTAAAGAAGAAACTCATTGACATTTGGATGATTTCCTAAATGCAACGACAATACAGTATATTGTCTTGCATAAGGCTATGCAACATGACCTATTTTTAAAGAGTAAGATTTTTTTTCCCCTATATGATTGAGAATGGAACTGAGTAATTGCGAGAAGGTGAACTATCTTAATTACACTAACTCTGAAACTAAGGAATCCAAAGTCAGTTTCAGAGGAGTGCAGGAACACCCCTCGTGTGTACAGTGTGTGCGTGTACGGCCAATACTAGATAGAATGTGCAAATGACAATGTAGAGAAAGCAGTAACAAGTAGTGTTTTAAAACAAATAAGGAACACAAGCTTGGATTTCACTTGCGACCTTTCAGTCAAAGCAATATATCAATAGCAAGTTGAAAAAATACACGTAATCACAAATGTTGTTCCTAAATTGAGTTTTTCTAAGGTTAAAACCTAAGTAAGTTCCCAAGAAGAGTCGCCAAGCTGTCGCACCCTATTTCGAACAAGCCGAAACAGTTCACAACATAATACAGTTGTCAGTCTGTTTTTTTTTGAAAAAATATTGTTTTGTTTACATTAGTTTTAGAATACCCACCTAAATTTTAAGGAAAATATTAGGAAAACCATTTTTATGTAAATGTAAACTCTGTTTGATTTGCGAAATCAGTGAGATTCTAAGTATGGGTTTTGGTTACTCGAGGAAAAGGTGTTAAGCATCCCTCAGAGCCAATCCGAAGATAGTCCTAAAATTCAATTTAGAAAATTATGATTAGGAAAACTTGTTTATTTATTTGCTTTAAAAATCAATGATAAGTTAATTGGTTAATTTAAGAAAAGACTAAAATACAAGGTACGACATATATGTCTTATAAAATAGATTTAATAGTAGTATTTTCATCATGTTGTAAAAAAAAAAATAGATGTACTTAAAAGTATGTTAATTTTTATATGGTTTAAAAAATATTAGAATGTATCATAGTAAAGTTATCCTAAAAATATATAGATGTTGAATTTATGAAAAATATGTCATTTCATTAAGACGTGAAAAATAAGATAGTAGTGGAGTTTAAATATGTAGTAATATGTAATATGTAAATATGTAATTTGGATAAAAATAGAGTTTCCTAAAAAAAATAAAAAAAAATAATAATGATACTAATGTTAAAATATTAGATAGAATTTGTGATCTAAAAATTATATTTATTATAAAGTATAGTATATACATATAACTTGTTTAGAACATATGAACACTTATTATTTATTTACATGTATAGACAAATTGACGATAGATTATATGTACTAAAGTAATATGTATATTTAAGTGTAGGCATTTATAAATTATAAAAATAAATAAATAACATTAGTAAAAGAGATAGTAGATAATAACAGGTTATGTAGAGAAAATATAGAATATATATACCTTTATATGTATGACATATATATATATATGTACCTTGCATTTGAACCTGTTGGCATATCTAAACTTTTGAAATAACATGTTAAAAGATTAGAATGTTTTTAGCAATATTTGATCCAAAAAGTTAGTATAGCCAATATATTTTTGTAAAGGGGTGATGTAAAAAAAATAGGCCTACCTATTAGGACTCATTCTATAGTCACATTTGTTTTGTTAAATAGATATAAGCCTACTTTCCTACTTATTTTTTTAAAATATATATATATATATATATATAAAAATAATTCCACAAGTTAATTATTTTTAGCCTTTATGTATCTCTAAATTCATTTGGAAGTCCCAATTCATGAGTTCTATTTTTTCCTACTTAAATACCTAAATGATTATTATTTCAACCTTTTAAAACTTCAATTGAGAATTTTAGATGATAAGTTTCTCAATTCCTTAAGATAAAGGCCTAAGTCGATATAAAAAAAAAATTCCCCAATTTTGAAATATTATTTTAACCTTTTGAAACTTCATTTGGAAAACTTTTAAAACTAAAATCCCCTCTTTTCAACTTAAAAAGCCTGAGAGAGTATTATAAGTAAAATTGTTAACCCTTTTTTTAAGAAAAATATCTTTTGTATCATTTGTTCTAAAGGTGTCTCAACTAAGTTCATAAAAAAATAATATTAGTTCACATAAAAATAAAAGACAAACAATATATCAAAAACTTGTAAGTAAAGGTTAGCCAATATATATCCAAACAATATAATTAAGACTCGAAAAGAGAAAGGCTAAGAAATATTGGACTCCTAGTTTTCGAGATTCCAAGAGTTGCGATGATCCTAATTGTTGTTGGCCTAATACTTTAAGTCAATAACGAGTTCCAAAATAGAAACTCTAGCCCTCCGTTTGTACATGAAAAATAAGAAGAAAAATGAAGAAGCAAATTAGAAATAACAAAAAAAAAATGAATATTAGAAGCAAGTAATTTTCTTAGACAGTTAGCTTTGCAAAGGATATGTGATTACGGTAATACATGTTTTAGCCTGAATACTTTGAGAATTTAGACATATCTTTTTACTATCAACTAAAGATAAAATATGGCAGACATATAGAAACAGGCTAATACAATAAATTAGTGAGAATCAAGAGACCTACAATCAAAAATTCCAATGTTGGGGAGTGAGACTTTTACCATTAATATGACTTGGTTACCAATAATACACTACATCAATGTGATTCTCTAGTAATCCTTAAGAAACTTTTATGAACAAGAGAACTAAAAACGTGATGATGTCATGTTATAGTGAATTATGGCCCTTTTTATTACAGTTATAGAATCGCACAAAGCTTATTCAATAAGGACTAGTTCCTTTTATTTTTTAAAGAGAAATAATGGAAGCATCCTATGGACAAAAGATTATTTCCAAGTCAAAAAAAATGAACAGAGGAGGAAACTATTCCCATGAGTGTAACAATTCAACAAGAATCTGCTATACTTAACTAAGAGATTCATAACATAAACTTGGTTCATCACATGACATGAGCTCTACACCTTCATAACAACATACTTTCTAATTGTACTAGAATGATTCCAGTGAGAAGTCATTTTCCAAAATATAAAAAAAGGATGAAAGGTTCTCGAACTATTGTTCTTGAAGTGTATTGTTCCTATCTTTTCTCTTCTGCTCGGATAATTTGAATCCTTGCTCCCTTTTTTGATGATTCTTGAATGGTTGTTCCCCCCGATTTTCTTTTCGAATGAGGCAAAACACCTCTTATATAGGTGAAATTCGGACTTCAAAAATCCAGATTTGAAACTCAAAATTATCAAAATCCATAGTGTAAAGCAAGGAACGAGTGAAATCTTTGAAAAGATCACCTTTTTCGGCTTCTCAGACTTGAAATTTGTTCTTGGGTTTTCTTTCCGATGTAAAAATAGGGGAAAAGGTGGGATTATTGATGGCCGTGGTAGATAAAGGTGATGGAGGGGACTTAAAGTTGATAGGAGGAGGTTGAGGACCACCGGAAATTTCCATTTTCCTGCAGTCCATAGGCAATATCGCTAAGAAAAGTTGATGGGAGAGGGTGCATCTATGAGGAGCGTCTGGGGAAGAGACGTTCTAGGGAAGAGGCGAGATCTTGGAAAGGAGAAAAGGACGCGTTCTTTTCTTGAAGCAATGACGCACCAAAAAAAAAGTACATGGGTCGGTAGGGGTGTACTATCTTGGAAAAGTCTTGATTTAATTTTGGCCGTCTGATCAAGTGATCGGACGGTTAATAAAATAAAGGGTTTTAAAAAATAAATAATTATATTATGCGTATATATATATATATATATATATATAATAGTAAAATGATGGATTAATTAGAGCCGTTAGATTAGATTGTAGGGCCGGGATTGAATCTAAAGAAACACAATCCATGTGCTCGCCTACGTGGCATACACAAATTGGTCGGTTTAAGGGGACTTGGATTGCCAAAATTGCTCAAATTAAATTCATTTAAATTATAGCTTCTCCTTTATTAAATAGTCATAATTTATTAAATTAAAAATAATTATTTTGCAAGATTAGCTTGTTTGATAAAATTAGTCACTATTAAAATTAAATTAAATGTAAATTAGTAACTCATTAATGCTTTCTAACTTAAAAAATGTACGAAAAAATAAATATTGTGACATAAGAAAATTATATTTGAACAAAAAAATAGATTTGATTCTTAAGAACGACACTTATTTTAAAAAAAAAGAGAAAGTAAGTAGTAATATAATATATTTGATTTTTATAAGAAATAACATTTATGAAATAAATTTATCAAGTAAATTAAATAATTAAAAAATCTCTTCGTATTCCTAAAAAATTTCATAACATATATATTATTATTATTAATTTAGTTACATGTGGGGAGCCAAAATTGGGTGTCAACAGCTTGCCCCTTTCTTTGTCCATGGAAGAAAGTAAAGAAGACGTGGACAAAGAAATATTGACACAATCCAATTTTTAGGCGACCCACAAAAATACACTTTGAACAATAACTTGGCAAGAATGTTTATGGAGTTATGGCCGAACTCTGGCTTCCGAGATGCCTACATATCTCAGGTTTCATGAGAAATCAGGCCACATGTAGTTCGAGAACATAGAAAATTTTTATTAAAAATTTTCCCCAGTATCGAATTATGATAATATTGAAATCTTTTGATGGTAAGTGTCACGACCCAAAATGAGTCGTGAGTGGCACCCACACTTAACCTCCTAAGTGGGAGAACCAAGAAATCCAAACCCCAACACATATCAATAATTTAACTATGAATAACAATAATAATGCGGAAGCTCAAAACTTATTAAAGTAACCAATCAAATAAACCTCTAAAGTCTAACACTTATTATCCCCAAAATCTGAAAGTCATCACATCAAGGACATCTAATCTCTAAATACAAAGTCTAAGAGTATCAAAGACACCGAAATAAATGAAATAAAGTAGTTTGTGTCCGAAAGCTATAGACATCAAGTCATGACCGAGAGAATCCAACACAAGCTCGAATGAATGGCTCACCCCTTACAACCTGATATGCTGAGATTGGCTAGAGCTGAGGGCGAGTCAAATTCGCTGGTACACTCGCTGCACTCCATAAAAGGAAAACAAAGAAAAATACAAGTAGGGCTCAGTACGGGGCAACATGTACTGAGTAGGTATCATCGGCCAACCCAAAATAGAAACTAATATACAATGAATAATAGTATAAAGTCAACTATAGCACTTAGCAGGTGATAAGAAACAACAACATGAACAAGTGACAGTTAAAGCAGGTACGTAATCGCTCACAATATCAAGCACACACACGAGGACTCATGCCTCCACAGCACACTCGTTTGGGAAATGCGTTCATTGAGATTGAGTACATTAAGTTAATTCAATATCTTTTTCCTTTAATGTTACCGTGTCGGAACGTGACACTCCGATCCAAAAATACCGTGTCGGAACGTGACACTCCGATCCAAAAATACCGTGTCGGAACGTGACACTCCGATCCAAAAATACCGTGTCGGAACGTGACACTCCGATCCAAAAATACCGTGTCGGAACGTGACACTCCGATCCAAAAATACCGTGTCGGAACGTGACACTCCGATCCAAAAATACCGTGTCGGAACGTGACACTCCGATCCAAAAATACCGTGTCGGAACGTGACACTCCGATCCAAAAATACCGTGTCGGAACGTGACACTCCGATCCAAAAATACCGTGTCGGAACGTGACACTCCGATCCAAAAATACCGTGTCGGAACGTGACACTCCGATCCAAAAATACCGTGTCGGAACGTGACACTCCGATCCAAAAATACCGTGTCGGAACGTGACACTCCGATCCAAAAATACCGTGTCGGAACGTGACACTCCGATCCAAAAATACCGTGTCGGAACGTGACACTCCGATCCAATAATATTATTAATTTATCATTTATTATCACCACTTTTCAATTCATTAATAATATTACATCAAGCCTTCTTTATTCAAGGCATCACTTCGATAGAGAAGTTTACAGATTATAAATCTCACGGTCTCAGGATTTTAGACCAATCACAAACCACACAACCAAGCCACACAATCACACAATCAAGTACATAGAGAACTTCACAATATCACTCAATGCATATCAATCACTATTAAGAGTCTATCTATCAAATAGAATAAACCATAACCTACCTCCACCGAAGAACCGAAGTCAAGCAAGCTACTTCTCCAATACTTTTGCTTTCTTCAATGACTCCGAACCTTTCCAATCTATCAAGTAGATATGCATAATTTGTAAGTTAACGAACCTATTAACACTCATATTATTCTGTGTCTCTTCTAAACCCAAAAACTCACCTAATTCTATAATCAACTTAATATATTCTTGAGTCATAGCAAGATAACTATAGAAACATTGGAACATTTACTTAAGTGCTACTAACAACAACCCCAACTACGAAACAGAAAACAACCGAGAAAACAATTTAACAGTCCTATACCCAATCTAAATTTTAACATATAATATTAACATGTACTACCTATCGTTACTCTGTTTGGCCTAACTTTTCTCTCAACCTTCATCTGACAGCAATAACTATACATATGCCAATTAACACTGCCACTTTAGAATATAATAATAATAAATAATCAAAGTTGAGGCCACTGGTTACGAAACCAGTGGCGATACTTTTGAACCCAACATAAAAATCTTACTATTGAAGAAAGCCACTTACATATATAAATAATAATATATACATATATAGTATCCTTCAAACCATTGTAATACCCTATTCTCCTCACGTTATTAATTTACTTTGTTAATCCACAATTTGACCAGTGATAATCACGCCTACCACATCAACCTGAACAACTTCCAATTTTTATCGGATGTCGGCAATTTCAATTATAATAATAACGATAATAACATGATTCATACCAATATACCCAACACAAGATTTAGGCGAATGATTTACCTGAAGTCTAGGGCACTCGCGTTCTTCTTTCGTTCACGCTGCTTTATGTTATTCCCCTCTTCCGTTCTTTTCTTTTCCTCTATAAATTATTTTTACCCTAATTATAATATGACTAATTATAAGAGTGGTAAAAACTGTTCCATTACAAATTTTACTATTATTTCCCTTAACCTCTAACTAAATAAATTATAAAAATTACCCCACTATTTCCATATTGTAGTTACAAATAGTCCAAAATAACTATTTAGAATCTATCGAAAAGTATTTTATGAAATCAAAAGCTCTAGTACTCAAAACGACCAAACGGGTCGTTACAGTAAGGTATGAAGAGATTAGCATGAATAGAGGGATGAAATATAGTTCTAAATAAACTTGAATGAAAAATGCTCTGTAGCAACTTCTAAAGACTTATGGTAGAGAGATGAGTTTTCAAAAAGACCGCCCTAGTGTCGAGTTATAATGAACTGAGGCCGAAAGTTGTAACTAAGATTTAAATCTGAACTTCTGAAAATCGAGTTGAGTTTGGAAAGTGAATCCTTGACGTAGCTAGTGATGCTTGACATTGCACTATCTTGCCCTAGTTTGCTGCTTAGAGGGAGTTCCTCGTTGTAATGCATTGTCCTGCAAAACATGTAAAAGGGTGAAAAGTACCTGTTGCGGTTCAATTATTATAAATTGAAATAGTAATGTAAATAGTAGTGTATAGATGTTCAAACGATTGTTAATGTCTCTTTTTTGTGTTGTGAGTGTGATGTAGGTAAAATAACTTGTAATGTAGAGGCCCTCGACAGGCGGGATTGTTGTAATGTAAAAGCATGTATCCGGTTGTGTAAAGCTTGTAAGGTAAAGCCTCCGGCTGGCGGGCTGTTGTAATGTAAAAGCTTGGTATCCGGCTGTGTAAAGCTTGTAATGTAAGGCCTCCGACTGGCGGGGTTGTTGTAATGTAAAAGCCTGTATCCGGCTATGTAAAACTTGTAATGTAAAGCCTCCGGCTGGCGGGGCTGTTGTAATGTAAAAAGCCTGTATCCGGCTGTGTAAAAGCTTGCAATGTAAAGCCTCCGTCTGGCGGGGCTGTTGTAATGTAAAAGCATGTATCCGGTTGTGTAAAGAGTGTAACATAAATTTAATTGTCGGTGTGTGACAGTGTTTCTATGCGTGCTTACCCCCGATCGATGGAGCTTCAGTGACGTCACTACGATGTGGTCTCCGACTAGCGGAGTGTTGGCTTATTTTGCTTATATACATTCTCTAATTGGCGGAGTTCGGTCGATGTTTGCTATATACAGCCTCCGATTGGCGGAGTTTGACAATGTTTGCTATGTACAACTTCCAGGTGGCGGAGTTTGATGATGTTTGCTATGTACAGCCTCCAAGTGGCGGAGTTTGACGACGTTTGTTGCGTACAGCCTCCGGTTGGCGGAGTTTGACAATGTTTTGCTACAAGCTCCAGTTGGTGGAGTTATTTTGACAGAAAATTAATCATCCTATTCTCCTACGAGGGCCCTCCTTTCTTCAGTATGTGATCTAGATCTTGAGCGTACCTGCGAAGATTTAAACAAAATATATTTTAGTCATAAGATGCAAGTTGAAGTATTTTCGGGAAATGAAGTAGAGAAAGAGTATTTTGGCTCATGATTGTGAGAAATCGAACGGCGTTTCCGGTCATTCCCCGAGACTTGATGTTATTTTCTTGATTCTTGTATTCCTGCACTCAAAGAAAATTTTAGTTTGGGAGGGGTGTTGGTTTGCATCGACTTGCGAACTGAAGCTTCGTCACTAGAATCCTTCGACACCTTGTAGGTACTGCACATAGTTTCTTAACCTAGAGACTTGGTAGGTGGATGAGTGGAAAAAAAATATTTTGAAAAAAATTAGCATGTTTTTCTAGAAAATAAGTATACTACGTATATATTAGGTATATATATATATATAGTAGTTCTCCAGTGTTTTAGATTATGACATGTTCCAAAGTCCATCGAGCTTTCCATTTTGTTGACTATATCCAACGTAGGCCTCCTGCAGCTTTTACTCTTCTGATGAAGCGTTCCTAGCTTTTTTGCAGACACTGCGACGATCGATATCCTTCAATATTTTGAGGTTATGCTAACTATGAGGAATGTTTCCTAAGGGTATGCAGGGAATTGATCGAGCTTGACTCAGGCTGCCTATGTATCCCCAAAATACGAATCAGATCATAACGTAGTTCGAATACACGTGGGAGAAATAGAAGTATGTAATGCAATGACCGAGCTTGACTCAAGCTGCCTACGTATCAAAGTGGAATCAGGTCGTAACGTAGTTCGAATTACAATAGGAAAGTGAAAAAATATGAAACACATTGTAAGAACATGTAATGCAATGACCGGGCCTGACTCAGGCTGCCTACGTATCCAAGCGGAATCAGGTCAGGACGTAGTTCAAATACAAAAGAAAAGTGAAAAATATTAAATCCAATGGACCGAATCCGACAAGGATTGCCTACGTATCCCACCGAGGGAATTCAGGTCGAGCCTAGTTCTAAATACATGGAAATGATGATTTGGATTTTCTAAGAGAGACCGGATCAGATGTGGGTTGCCTACGTTCCCCGCCATGGGAAGTCAGGTCTAGACGTAGTTTTGTTACATTGAAAAATGCAAAAGTACACAAAATAAGCGCTAATCTTGAGGTCTTCAGATGTAGTATTCTTGAGGGCGTCTGAATTGATTGGCTTTGTACTCACTCTGCCGTCCATTTCTGCTAAAATTACCGCTCCTCCTGAGAGTACTCTATGAATCATGTAGGGCCCTTGCCAATTTGGTGCAAATTTCCCTTTGGCTTTTCCTTGGTAAGGACAGATCTTCTTCAATACTAACTGCCCCGGTGTAAACTGTCGAGGTCTGACTTTCTTGTTGAACGCTTTGGTCATTCTGTTCTGGTAGAGTTGGCCATGACAAACAGCGTCCATCCTCTTTTCATTGATGAGCATCAATTGCTCATGCCTGCTAGTATCCATTCTGCATCGTCCAGACCAACCTCTTGGATAATCCTTAAAGATGGTATTTCCACCTCGGTAGGTATTACTGCCTCCGAACCATAAACCAACATATAAGGAGTTGCCCCAGTTGATGTTCTGATTGTGGTGCGATAACCGAGTAGAGCATATGGTAGCTTCTCATGCCATTGTCTGTGACTGTCTACTATCTTCCTTAAAATCTTCTTGATATTCTTATTTGCAGCCTCAACTGCTCCATTCATCTCTGGCCGGTAAACCGTGGAATTTCGATGAGCAATCTTGAACCTTCCACAAGTTTCTTTCATAAGATCGTTGTTGAGGTTGGTTGCATTGTTTGTTATGATTGATTCTGAAATCCCAAACCGACAAACTATGTTGTCGCGAACAAAATTTGCCACTACCTTCTTAGTCACTGCCTTGTATGTCGAAGCTTCGACCCATTTTGTGAAATAATCGATAGCCACTAGAATGAAATGATGTCCATTTGATGCGGCAGGCTCTATGGTTCCGATAACGTCCATGCCCCAAGCGGCAAATGGCCAAGGGGAACCCATCACATTGAGCTCATTCGGTGGAACCCGTATAAAATTTTCATGCACTTGACACTGATGACACTTTTGCACATACCGGATGCTATCTCTCTCCATGGTCATCCAAAAATATCCAGCTCTTAAAATCTTTTTTGCCAAAGTGAACCCATTCATGTGAGGTTCACATGTTCTTGCATGTATTTCTTCCAAAAGCCTTATTGCTTCGCGGCATCGACACACTTCAGCAATTCTAAATCCGAAGTTCTCTTATATAGGATTTCTCCGTTAAGGAAGAAATGATTGGCCATCCTTCTCAAAGTCCGTTTCTGCTTGCTTGTAGCATTTTCAGGATATTCTTGTGCTTCTATCAATCTTCTGACGTCATAGTACCAAGGTTTTCCATCCAGTTCCTTATCTACATGAAAACAGTACGCATGTTCATCATGTATCTCTATATCGATAGGGTCAATGTAATTCTTGTCTGGATGTTGAATCATCGAGGACAATGTTGCCAAAGCATCGGCAAACTCATTTTGAGCTCGAGGGACATGTTTGAACTCAATCCTTGTGAATCTCCTACTCAACTCTTTTATGTAATGCAAATAAGGAAGGATCTTGACATTCTTAGTGGTCCATTCTCCTTGTACTTGATGAACCAACAAGTCGGAGTCTCCTAGTACCAAGAGTTCTTTGATATTCATGTCTATGGCCATTCTGGGTCCTAGAATACAAGCTTCTTATTCCGCCATGTTATTGGTACAATAAAACCTGATCTTGTAATACTGACCTGTTTCCGAAATTAAGATTGCTCTTATTCCAACTCCAGTAGAGTTTGATGCTCCATCAAAGAACATCATCCATCCATCATACGACCCTGATATGTCTTCTCCTACAAACAAAACCTATTCATTAGGTAAGTAGGTCGTGAGTGGCTTGTAATCCTGGTCCACCGGGTTTTCTGCGAGGTGATCAGCCAAGGCTTGTCCTTTGATGGCCTTCTGTGTCACATACACAATATCAAACTCGCTCAACAAAATTTTCCACTTCGCCAGTTTACCCGTAGGCATGGTCTTTTGAAATATGTACTTTAGTGGATCCATTCTTGAGATCAAGTATGTGGTGTATGCAGATAGGTAATACTTAAATTTTTGCGCAATCCAAGTCAAAGCACAACATGTTCGTTCCAACAATGTGCATCTTACCTCGTACGGTGTGAACTTCTTGCTCAGTTAGTAAATGGATTGCTCTCTTCTACCTGTCTCATCATGCTTCCCCAATACACATCCAAATGCATTATCCATGACAGATAGATACAATAACAAAGGCTTTCCAGGCTCTGGTGGGATGGACAAGTATTCTTTGATTTTATCGAAAGCCCTTTGGCATTCCTCTGTCCATTTTGTGGCAGCATCCTTCTTCAGTAGCTTGAATATGGGTTCGCAAATCACTGTAGATTGAGCTATGAACCGACTGATGTAATTCAGTTTTCCCAAAAAACTCATCATGTCTTTCCTGATCTTGGGTGGACGTAGCTCTTGGATTGCCTTTATCTTTGATGGATCTAACTCTATTCATTTCGTGTTAACGATGAATCCCAATAGTTT